TGCTTTACACTGAACATGAACAAATTGCAAGCAGGTAAATTTGCAACACTATTAATGGGAAGGTTAGAAGATTATCTCCACATACACAATGGGCATTTGCTAACGAGATGATTTGTGGCTTAACTCACAAATGCACAAGCCATTTGAACTGTGTGTCTCACCAAATACTTGCTATGATTTCACTTGTACCACTGAATACTTCTCAGAAAGCTGTGGTGATGTAACTTAAATTGCCATAGCCACTTCACACAAATCAACTTCCACAAAGAGATTCATCCACACAACGGTACCGCAAATAGACATACGCAACGGAAGCTGTATGCAGGAAGTGAGCCCAAATGAACAGCTGTCACACTGGAAATATCCTCCAAATAAAATCACCCAAATTAAAGAAAACCAGCACTGTTATCAGTCAGCCCAGGCTCGAAGGCCAAACTAGACCAAATGTGAAAGATCTCCCATGGGTCTTTTTAAAGGCAATTGTCAGTTCCCTGTGGCTGCTTTGAAGGGCCAAGGGAGTGTCTATTTGCATGTTTTCTCCCTCCAGAGAACTAAGTGCAGTTTTGGAGAGCTGATTTAAATCACTGAAGAGGCACTGAAGGAAAGGGGAAATACTAACTAGCTTTTAAAAAAATCTTTCAGAGAACTTGATCACAAGTCACATTTAATTTGATCCTGTGGGCAGAAGAGAAAGCCCTTTAGAAAGATTACCGATATTACAGAATTGTTACATTGGCAGCTCAAAGAAACAACCCCGCACATCACAGAAAAAAGCCTAGCTTTCCACCCATCTGGCATCCCAGTTCACATTCCTCCTTATCTGACTGTCATTTCTGAGGTGGACCTAGCTCATGGGTGTCAAACCTAAGGCCCGTGGGCCAGAAGTGGCTCACCCATGGCTTTAATTAGGCATGCGGCTCTTTTCTCCCCTCCTCCCCCTCCCCCTCCCGTCCTCACCCTTTAAAGCTTGAGGCTGCTGAAGTTCTCAGCTCCCTCCCAGCTCCCTCAGTCTTGTTTTTGCCTGTTCGGCAGGAAGCTCTTCTGGGCTTGCAAAGCTACAAAGAAAATACGGAATGGATTTTTCTATTAAGGTCTCTTCACCGAGATAAACTTCTCTGGGATTGTTTCCAGCAATAGAAACAGTGCTCTAGGACTGGAATGACAGCCCCCCGAGTAGAATGACAGTTCCTAGCAATAGAATCTGTGTTCTGGGACTGGGATGACAGGGCACAGAGTGGAATGACAGCCCCTGGGAGTAGCAGCAGCATTCTGGGGATGGAATTCCCCTCTGGGGGCCCTCATTCCAATCCCAGAATGCTTCTGCTACTCCTAGGGACTGTCATTTCACTCTGGTGGCTATCATTCCAGTTCCAGAGTAGTCTCTCTGGGCCCAGAGACCTTAATATGAAATCCATTCCACATTTTCTTTGCAATTTTGTTTGTGTTGCAATGTATTTCAGTGGAGTGGAGCTCAATAAGTTTCACTTTCCAGTGTTTGTATAGTTGAAGTTGTTGCTTGATGGAGTTGTCTCCTTGCAAATACAGGGTTGATGTTTTGAGCCAGCTTGTCTCTGCTGAATAGACTTGAGAACGGGTACCTGAGTGAGTAACCTGGGAACCCACAGCCAAAGGTGGACATTACACTGGAAAGCCACTGCCACTCTGAGTAGACCTGGGGGGAGGGGAGAAGCTTGCAATGCCCAGCCATTTTATGTTCCTAGGCTCAGAGCATTTTATATGTTTAGTTTCTACTGTGATCCTTGTGCTTTTTCTTGATGTTTTATTTTAAAAATTGCATTGCCAAACCCCACTATTCCACCTTTCCATTTTAAGCAGGCATCTTTTGGGGGGCCTTGATGTAACTCTACTTGTCACCTTTATTTCACATATTTAAGTGACGTGTTGTGACCATTGCTTTGCATTTCTATTGTGAGATCTGTTTTACCACACTGCCCCATTTTATTTGTAATTGTATTTGTAATTTTTTTTTTGTTTTCATTCTTTTGGGACAGAAAAACTAATGCCAAAATATAACTGAGTCACTTCCAGGGCATCCCAGTTAGGAAGTATCTCCTTACCTTGTTGCGGGCTTTGTACACACTGGCAGTGGCCCCTTGACCCAGCACATCTTCTGTTTCCCAGAGATAGTTTGGTGTACTTTTCATGGCCAGTGAGTGGGTGGTCGGCCTACCACCTGCAAGACAAGTGGAAGAAGGAAGGAAGTAAATGTCACAAGGTGGCATGAGATAAGCGCCATTCCTGGAGTCTCGCTTGGGAAGGCTCTCAATCAACTAAGCTAATTTGCTTTTTATTAATGAACACAACAGCTCAGAGCCAAGCATCTCTATTACTTAATCAGAGCAAAATCCCTCCATACCTAATTTCCCAAGCACTCTTTTTAGAATTCCCATAAAAATACACCTGCTTACAATTTATATTACCCAGATTCCTAACACTGGGACTGGAGGAAGTTCAACAAGGCATAAGCATCAACTATTCTTCCCCTCTGACTATCACACCCTGGTTCCAGGTCCCCCTTTTGAGTTCTTGCTCTGTAAAATATCTGGAAAGCCAAGCCTTCAGATCTCTTTCCTAAAGGATCAGCCACTTCCCACTGAGAGTATGAAGGCCAATAAATGAAACCTGTGTGACATATACCATCTGGGCTGATAAGTAAACACTGCCAGGTGCTTTCACCAGTGGCAGATACTAGAAGCACCTCCATTTTGTAAGGACAGAAAGCAAAAGTATTGCAAAACAGCCTGTTAGAGGAAAGGCTTTGCTTCCTGCAAAAGAGAAATGCAATACCTAGAGTTTCTGAAACTAACCAGTTTTCTCCCACAACCAACAGAGTCTAAGGACCTCTCTCTCTCTCTCTCTCTCTCTCTCTCCCCCCCCCTCTATCACCAAAGATCTCTCCCTCTCCCCCCCCCCCCCCCCCCCCCCCCCTTAAGATATTGGCAAACACTGAAGAGTGGCCAAATAACCTTAACTAAAGTATCTTGGAGAGAACTTTCGGGTGGATATGCAGACCTTGTGACACAACTAAACTTGGCACTGGCTTTTTCCACACCACTACATAATTTCCAGTCATGATACTGTATTGCTATTTTTAAGTAGTCTTGAGTAAATCTAACATTTTTGTGTCATTACCACCACACACAAAAACCTTTGATCACTCAGGAATACTCCTAACTAGCAACACAGGACGTATTCAGAAGATTATCTGAAGTAGCATCAGCTATGTGCAAGTCCCTAACTACTGGACCTCTAGAGATATTGGGTTGCAGAGTCTCCAGGCCCATTTCTACACAGGCTATTTGCCCTGGGTCTGAAGTTGCTGGAAAACAGGTTTTTCCTCTCCCTCCCCACAGCATTGCAGTACATTCATGTACCTCCCAGGGTTTTTCCTGATCTTTCCAAAACCTGTTTTGTTACAAAGTTTTGGGGAAAGACCACAACAAAGCCTGGATGGCCATTGTGTGTGCAGGAAAGTTTGGATCTTCCTTACAGCAGCCATTTCTTCTCCTTACCACTTGGGAGCCTTGTTATTTAAATCGGCAACTGAATATCGTTACACTGGTATAGCATTATAATAATATGTGTATTCTTTGAACTCATCGCTTCCATTAAAAGAAATAAATCTTCATCGCCTCTCATTAGGGAGACCTGTTTTTTAAATAAAATCTGTAAATTCAGAGAAGCTGTTACACATTGTTATAAAGTTATATATAAAAATATGAGTCTTCAAACATAGGGCAGGATTCAGTAGCAACCCCCTCCAAAGGCAGACTCTGCAGTCCCTGAGCCGCATTTCTATTGATCAACAGCACCTCAGTGTTGTCACAATTCAGTTTCAGTTTACTGGTCTATCACTGTTCCTAAGCTTTGCAAGTGAGCAGCCACTCATTGACACAGGAAGCCCCGCTCAGCAGCAATCTGGAGCCGTGCAGGGTCTTCCCCTGCCTATTGCTCATTTTAAGATTACAGCAGTTATATTCGGCTCAGGATGTGAACTGCTCCACTCAGCAGGGGGGGAAACTTACAGGAAATATTGGTCATCAATCCATCCCACAACCTTCTCCAGGCACTTATTTAGGACTTCTACATCTGGAGCATATTCATGGCAAGTCACCACTGCATCAGTTTTCCATTTACCTGCCTCAGTAGTCATTAAATTTGCAGCTCCAATGAGAGCATTTCCATAACCAAACAAGCTCCCATATCACTCAACTGCTGCTAACTGTGTTTTTTCACCAACGACTAAAGAGATGTTTTGTCCATCCACAGAAGTAGCAATTACTGCAACTATTTTCCCAATCAGCATAAAAAGGTGTACCACTGGTGCCAGATCTTTTACTTCTGGTAGCTTTGGGCCATTTAAGCATTACTATCAATTAACTTCATAACAGTTTTGTCCTAGCTCGTATTGTCCTTCTGATACACAAATCTGTGCCTGCGTGCTCCCGTGCCGAATTGGAAACACACAGTCAGAGTCCAACGAGTTAGATGAATATCTGTTTAATGCATTGAAAACAGGGAATACAGGTCTGAATGCCTTAGCACCTCAGCAATTCCAAAACTGTATTCTGCCATAACCAGGAAGGGCTGAAGGTCTTATACCCCAAATGACATCACATATAATTTACACATTAAAAAATCTCTAATTGGTACCAAGCAGTTAACATCATACAAGCATCATTTGACTTTAAACCTTGCTATTGGTCTCTCATGTGTTGTCAGTGATTACATTTGCTTATCTGCTCTTCAGAGCAATGGAACATTAGGGAACACTGAGAACCTTTCTGACCTTAGTGAAGCTAGTCCCTCTTTC